CCAAGTCTCCTAAGCTCCAATGAGGCTGAACAAGGTGGTGAGGGCGGCTGAACAGCGGTGGCACCACGCCGGATCAGCGACGACGAGCGGCGGCTCCTTGGCGGCGCACGGCGGTGCACGACGGGCGGTGGCGTCTCGGCTGAGCTAGGGGGCGGCGAAGGGAGATGATGGTGCTGGTAGTGGGACGGAGAGAGAGAGAGAGAGAGAGAGAGAGAGAGAGAGAGAGAGAGAGAGAGAGAGAGAGAGACGGTCGACTGAGGTGGTGGTGCTTCAACGTGTGGCACCGGCAAACGGTGGCGGTGCTCCGGCGTGGCTCTCACGACCAAGGGGAAGGAGAATGGGAGAGAGGGAGTGAGGCGTGAGAGTGAGGGAGTGGCCGGTGGTGATGGTGAGAGTGAGAGGAGAGAGAGATTGCAAGAGGTTTAACACATTGGCTTGAGTGGGGTGATTGACCAAACCCCCTAAAATTACCATCTTGTCCAACCATCAAGGGCTAAGATTAGTTCTTGCCAAAATATCTAGGGGCAACATGGTCCATGATTTTTCAGCATTATTGGGGGTTGATTAGTCCATTTTTAATCCCCAAAGTTCGGAACCCATGCATAGGCTTAGGGGCAAAACGATAATTTTCCGATCCTGGGCCGAAATTCCATTTTTCGATCTTACCGATCCCAAATATGATTGGCCACACTAATATGACGTTGTCCTTGCAAAATAGTCGCGTACGTCCGTGAAATTCGACACTCAAATCCGGATTCAAATCCACGATCAATTTCGCTTAAATTCAATTTTAGTGTCTCTTACTAACGGGCGGCTGTTTAGGGGTTACGCGTATCAACTTAGGATATTCGAGTCATGACGGTCTCGATTCTCAAGAGAATGCGAGGATTTATCGCTAGTTCTGGGGGTCACGATCGTTTGGAATAAGTTCGGGATTGTTTGCCACGTATACTCCCGGTTGTGCGGAATCACCCGCGATCCGATCGTACGTCATTGGCTAAACCAAATCTGTCACCCTCCTTGGATCGGCCCACATTGGCCCAAAATATTTTCCTCGTCTTTTCTCGAAATCAGACTTAATTCACGATCGAGTTCTTAGGTTCACGTACCGTTTTTCCTAGTTAGTCATTCCCTATTTGTCAGTATCCCAAGAATGATTAGTTCCGGGCGAGACTCACAAAAACGAAATGAGAAATAACCATCCATTTCATTGATCACGAAAAGTGGGTCGAATTCAAGATGTTACAACTTTTCCCCCTTACAAAAATTTCGTCCTCGAAATTTACAACTCAAACCCGACTACTCAAACAAATGAGGATGTTGACGTCGCATCGCCTCTTCGCTTTCCCAGGTGGCACCTTCCGTTCCATGATGTTCCCAGACAACTTTGACCATCGGAATCGTCTTGTTTCGAAGCACTCGATCTTTTCTGTCCTCGATCCTCACTGGCTTCTCCACGTATGATACCCTGTCGTCCACGTCTATCTCTTCGTATCTCAGCATGTAGGTCGGGTCCGGTTCGTACTTTCTCAATATCGACACGTGGAATACATTATGAACCTGGGATAAATTAGGCGGCAAGGCTAGTCGATAGGCCAGATCTCCAATCTTTTCCGAAATTTCGAATGGACCGAAATATCTCGAGCTTAGCTTTCCTTTCTTGCCAAATCGGGAAAGTCCTTTCATTGGCGATATCTTGAGAAATACATGATCACTAACTTGAAACTCCAAGGGTCTCCGTCTCTGATCGGCGTAGCTCTTTTGACGGCTCTGCGTTATTCTTAACCTTTCCTGAATAATCTCAACTGCCTCAACTGTCTGTTGTACCAACTCTGGACCAGTTATGCTTCTCTCTCCAACTTCATCCAAGCACACTGGCATCCTGCACGCTTTGCCATATAACGCCTCAAACGGTGCCATCTGAATGCTTTGCTGATAGCTGTTATTGTAGGCGAATTCGACTAAGTGCAACTGCTGTTCCCATTTACCCTGGAAGTCCAACACGCATGCACGTAACATATCCTCTAAAGTCTGGATCGTCCTCTCCGACTGGCCATTTGTCTGGGGATGATAGGCTGTACTGAACTGCAACTTCGTCCCTAGGGCCACTTGCAGACTTTTCCAAAAATTGACCGTAAATCTGGGATCACGGTCCGAAGTGATCATCACTGGTACTCCATGTAGTCGGACAACCTATCGCACATATAAATCTGTGTACCTTTCTAGTTCAAAATCCTTTCGCACTGCTAGGAAGTGCGCCGACTTAGTTAGTCTGTCTACTATCACCCATATTGAATCATGCCCTCTCTGGCTCCTCGGCAATCCCGTAACGAAAGCCATCATGATATGCCTTCATTTCCATTTGGTAATATCCAAAGGTCGCAGAAATCCTCCAGGCTTACAGTGCTGCACCTTTACTTGCTAACAGGTCAAACATTTTGTCATATGCTTGGCCACATCTGCCTTCATTCCATTCCACCAATAATGTTATCAAAGGTTCTAGTACATTTTCGTGCTGCCTGGGTGAATATTATAATTGTTCTTATGAGCTTCCGATAAAATTTCTTCCTTAAGTTCCGAATCGTCGAGCACGCATAAACGTCCTCGAAACTTCAAAACTCCATCCTCGGACACTTGGAAGTCCGGTTTCCTCTTAGTGCCATCTATCTCCAGAATCTTCTGGATCTCGGGGTTCGTAAACTGCAATGTCTTAATCTTTATTTGAATCCCCGGCCCGATCCTCAACGTGGCGAGTAGACTCAACATATGGCTCACCTCAAATTTGAATTCTGAATCTCAGATTCCTTCCAATAAAGTCGACTCCTTGACCATCATGTGCGCCATACTCGACTTCCGGCTTAGCGCATCCACCACTCTATTGGCCTTCTCAGGGTGATATAAAATGTCGCAGTTGTAGTCCTTGAGAAGTTCCATCCAGCGACGTTGCCTCATATTCAATTCTTTCTGCGAAAATAAATACTTGAGGCTCTAATAGTCCGTATAGATCTGGAACTTTTCCTCGCACAAATAGTGCCTCTAAATCTTGAGGGCGAAGATGATCGCAGCCAACTCTAAGTCATGCGTTGGGTAATTCATCTCGTGCGGTCTTAACTGACGTGACGCATATGCGACTACCCTTCCGTATTGTATCAATACGCATCCAAGTCCCCTCAACGAAGCATCACTATAGACCTCAAAACCTCATGGTTCGGACGGAATGGTTAATACTAGAGCAGTCGTCAACCTATGCTTCAACTCCTAAAAACTTCTTTCGCACTTATCGTCCCATTCAAACTTCGTTTCCTTTTTGAGCAACCGCGTCAATGGCATGGCTATTGACGAAAACCCTTCTACGAAACGTCTGTAATACCAGGCTAATCCCAGGAAACTCTGAATCTCAGTCACCGATGTCGGTCTTGGCCACTTAGCCACTGCCTCAATCTTCGTCAGGTCCACGGAGATTCCTTCTCCGGAAATTATATGCTCAAGAAACGCCACTCGGTTAAGCCGAAACTCGCACTTGCTAAACTTAGCATACAGTGCATGCTCTCTTAACGTTTGTAGGACCTTTTCCAAGTGTACTTCATGATCTTTGGGACTCTTTGAATACACCAAAATATCATCTATGAAGACAATGACGAACTGATCCAAAAACTCCTTGAATACCCGATTCATTAAGTCCATGAAGGCAGCAGGGGCATTAGTCAGCCCAAATGGCATTACCGTGAATTCATAGTGCCCATACCTCGTCCTGAATGCCGTCTTTGGGATATTCTCCTTCTGAATCCTCAACTAATGATACCCCGTCCTTAGGTCAATCTTAGAAAACACTGAGGCTTCTTGCAACTGATCGAACAGGTCATCAATCCTCGGCAGAGGGTACTTATTCTTGATGGTTACCTGGTTCAACTGCCGGTAGTCGATACACAACCTCAGAGTTCCATCTTTTTTCTTTACAAACAACGCCGGCGCTCCCCATGGAGACGCACTTGGGCGAATGAATCCATTGTCCAGTAATTCTTGCATCTGAACCTTTAATTCCTTAAGTTTCGACAAGGACATCCGGTACGGTGCCTTCGAGATTGGTTCAGTCCTCGGGGCCAACTCTATTACGAATTCCACTTCCCTTTTGGGTGGCAAACCCGGCAATTCCTGCAGAAAGACTTCAGAGAAATTGCATACCACAGGTATATTCTCTAAGTTCGGCTCCATGACCGTCGGATCCACGACGTTTACCAAATATCCTTTGCAACCTTCATCTAGCAACTTGGTCACCTCGAGCAAAGAAATCCAAGGGATCAAGGTTCCTCCTCGGTTTCCCTGAAACTCAAATCTAGGACATCCAATTGGATTGAATTGGATCACCTTGCTACTGCAGTGCAATACGGCTTTTTGCTTAACCAACCAATCCATTCCAATAATCACATCAAAGTCGAACATGGTCAGAACTGCGAAATCTATCCTTTCCTCTCTATCCCCAATAATTAATTTACAGCCAGGACACCCTAACGAGACCAATACCTTATCATTCAGTGGTGTCCTCACACAAAGCATAACCTCAAGCATAACTAGCTCAATTCCAATCAATCTAGCAAATTGCTCTGATATAAATGAGTGGGTAGCCCCAGATCAAACAATGCATACGCAGCGTGATCACAGAGAGGAACGGTACCTGTGACCACGCCTGGCGTGTCCTCAGCCTCCCTACACGCCATCGCATACACCCTTCCTTGCGCTAGCGGTCTACCTTGAACAGCTGGCGGGGGATTCCCGGTCTAATTTCCAACCCGGGGCTACTGTGCCTGCACCGGTGGTCCTGATGGGCGTTGCTGGGGGCAATTCCTTATCCGGTGGTCCAGACTCCTACACTTGAAACACGCTCTGAATCGGTTCTGCTGGTGGTTTGGTTTCCCAATGTTCTTCTTAACGGGAGGGACGAATCGCCTATTTCCTGCCATCGGCTTCTTCCCGAAGCGGTGGTTATCCCTAGCCAGGGCAAATCACGATCCAGAAGCGGCAGCCCTGTCCACCTGATCTCGCTCTATAGCCTGTGCTCGCTCGTACATCTCCCCATAATCCTTAATGTTGAGCGATATCATTTGGCTTCGGAGATCCAGTTTCAGCCCATCCCGAAATCTTCGGACCTTATCCTGAGGGTCCTCAACCATCCTAGGCGAGATCTTCAACAGTCTCGCAAATTTCGCCTTGTATTGGTCCACGGTCATCGATTCTTGGCAGAGCCTCATGAACTCCGCTAACTTCCTCTCTCTGGCACTCTTGGAGAAATACTTCCCATAAAAATTCTCAGTAAACATGGCCCAAGTCTGGGCGGTCCCCTTGAGAAATACTCTGCCCTTGGTGGCCTTCCACCAGTCATTAGCATCATCTTGCAATTGATACACCACCAAAGTCACCCTTTCAACTTTGGTGCACCCCAGAACTTCGAATGCCTTCTCCAATTCTTCGACCCAACGCGGCGCGGCCTCGGGGTCACCCTTTCCGTCGAACTTCGGCGGCTTCAACTTCAAGAACTGTTCGACCAACTTAGACATTAGTCTGATCACATTTGCTAGTTCCGGAGCTGGATTCTCATTATCCCCCTAATTATCATTATTTCTGTTATTCCCATTGGCAGCAACAACGGCGGCCTCAACAGCAGCGGTAACAGTGGCATTTCTCTCCTAGGTCTGCCTACCCATCAGTATTCCCACTTCCTCGAGTGCTCTCAAAATCTCATCTACCCTGGGATCCTCTGCAACCCTCACTTGCGGGTCTACGCGACCTTGACCACGACCTCGACCTCGACCTTGACCTCTACCTCTTCCTTGGCTACTCATCTTCACAACTTGTACGCTCGCCTACCTGCTATAATTCCACTCAGGAATTTGAGACCTAGGCCAAATTACACCAGTCTAAAGTCCTAGGCAAAGAATCATAACAGCAATCACACAGCAGGCGGTCAAACACAAGTAGCACAAGTTTTCAGCCAAAGAGACAAGTGAACAACAATCACATAGCAGGCGGTCAAACACAAGCAGCACAAGTTTTCAGCCAAAGAGACAAGTGTCCTTATCTCGGGTCTTGCCGCACCTGCATTTTACAAGTCAATCACAACAATCACTTAATCAAGCAAGCCAAACAGTCCGGAGGTACATGTAGCACACAAGTCTCCCTATCTGCTACCCAAGGTCATTGCTCCTTATCACTCTAGGTTTCGACCGAGTTGGATCGAGCTGACCTTGCTTTGATACCAAATCAACGGGGGCTGTCACGCCCCGAACCCTACGGCACACGACAACCCTACCGAGATCGATTCAAGTGTGAAGTCCCAAGACGCGTCGCCGACCCAAAACCCAACACAGAGAACAATGCACATGTTGAAGCAGTCAAACACCTGTACAATATAAAAACAACATGACCCAGGGATAGCAATAAATACAATAAATACAACTTGCACTAATAACAGGGATTTACAATATCCAAAGACAGGCATATACACAACCTCCCTTGGCCACAACGTATGTCATGCACATGCTCATGCTCATACTTATGCTTATGCTCATACTCGTGCTCATGCTCATCGATGCACTCTTGCACACTTGCACACTTGCACACGTGCCATTTCCCAATTCTCCTCCGACCCGTGTAAAACGCATCAGGTCCGACTCGCATAAAACGCATTAGGTCAATCACTTTGAGATCAATCTTTGGCCCACGTAAAACGCATCAGGCTCATGACACAAAACCCACGTAAAACGCATCAGGTTGGTCATCTTCCGGCAATCCGGGCATCGTTCCGCATAAAACGCATTAGGACGGGTTCAATACCCTGCGTAAAACGCATCAGGGCTTTATGTAATCACACGTACACATCCACCAGTTATTATCTGAACCCCGCGTAAAACGCATCAGGGCGGTTAGGTGATCACATGCTCATGCCATTCGTGCACACTCACATAATGCACATGGTATGCCAATGCTTAATATGCACAATTCATGGCCATAACAATCACATTCGGGCATCCAAATTTCGACATTGAGCATTCAATTCAACTTGGCCACATACTCAATTAATGTCACAACATGCTCCATGAACCAATTAATTCGACATAGCCACAACACATAATTGGCACCCGAATTCATGCGATTGAATCAATATAATTACGCACACTCATGGCCCCTCAAGCATCTCGATTCTCGGTCACATCAAGCACACACATGGCATCACATAATCAATTCCAAATCATGCACAATTCAGCCACCACATAGGCAAATCAAGGCACACTTGGCAATTCACAAACAAACCACATATTAGCCGAACGAGGTCCAATTAATCCCGTCATGATCAGCCCTTAAACAGTCTAATCTGGGCTACTAATCCACCTCCAAATCATCACATTAGGCCATTAAATCACCACAAAATCAGCCACTAAACAGCCCACACATTGCACCCATTTTAATCCACATAATTGCCCAAACCTAGTCCTCAATGATCGGCCAACAACCAGCCCACTCTAGGCCACCAAATCACAATTAAATCACCACACTAAACCACCAAAATAGCCACAAAGTCAGCCCTAATCAATGGCCACTTAATCAACCCCTAAAATATCCTAATTACCCCTAAAACTTGTCTAAAGTGCACATAATCCTAATTAGGGTTTAAGGTTTGTACTCACCAAGTCTCCTAAGCTCCAATGAGGCTAAACAAGGTGGTGAGGGCGGCTGAACAGCGGCGGCACCACGCCGGATCAGCGACGACGAGCGGCGGCTCCTCGGCGGTGCACGGCGGGCGGTGGCGTCTCGGCTGAGCTAGGGGGCGGCGAAGGGGGATGATGGTGCTGGTGGTGGGACGGAATGAGAGAGAGAGAGAGAGAGAGAGAGAGAGAGAGAGAGAGAGAGAGAGAGAGAGAGAGACGGTCGACTGAGGTGGTGGTGCTCCGGCGTGTGGCACCGACGAACGGCGGCGGTGCTCCGGTGTGGCTCTCACGACCAAGGGGAAGGAGAATGGGAGAGAGGGAGTGAGGCGTGAGAGTGAGGGAGTGGCCGGTGGTGATGGTGAGAGTGAGAGGAGAGAGAGATTGCAAGAGGTTTAACACATTGGCTTGAGTGGGGTGGTTGACCAAACCCCCTAAAATTACCATCTTGTCCAACCATCAAGGGCTAAGATTAGTTCTTGCCAAAATATCTAGGGGCAACATGGTCCATGATTTTTCAGCATTATTGGGGGTTGATTAGTCCATTTTTAATCCCCAAAATTCGGAACCCATGCATAGGCTTAGGAGCAAAACGGTAATTTTCCAATCCTAGGCCGAAATTCCATTTTTCGATCTTACCGATCCCAAATATGATTGGCCACACTAATACGACGTTGTCCTTGCAAAATAGTCGCGTACGTTCGTGAAATCCGACACTCAAGTCCGGATTCAAATCCACGATCAATTTTGCTCAAATTCAATTTTAGCGTCTCTTACTAACGGGCGGCTATTTAGGGGTTACGCGTATCGATTTACGATACTCGAGTCGTGACGGTCTCGATTCTCAAGAGAACGCGAGGATTTATCGCTAGTTCCGGGGGTCACGATCGTTCGGAATAAGTTCGGGATTGTTTGCCACGCGTACTTCCGGTCATGCGGAATCACCTGCAATCCGATCGTACGTCATTGGCTAAACCAAATCCGTCACCCTCCTTGGATCGGCCCATATTGGCCCAAAATATTTTCCTCGTCTTTTCTCGGAGTCAGACTCTATTCACAATCGAGTTCTTGGGTCCACGTACCGTTTTGTCCAGTTAGCCATTCCCTATTGGTCAGTATCTCGAGAATGATCAGTTCCAGGCGAGACTCACTAAAACGAAATGAGAAACAACCATCCATTTCATTGATCACGAAATTGGGTCGAATTTAGGATGTTACATGCGTGATAAAGTGCATTTGAGAAGCTTTTATAGACAGCGATAACCGGTCACATTCAATGGAAGTTCGTGCTACTTGCATTACATGTAATATGTGATAAGAGGCATTGATATATAGATCATCAAAAAAATGTCAGTCATTGATCTGAATCACATATTTAGATATAGCGTGATCCACATGTGGATCTTGAGGAAGCAAATGTTTGAACATATTATTGTACAGATCACGCAGGCGGCATTATCCATAAAATTATTCAATACAATACTTATTTCATCTTTATCTGTTTTTCTATTTAATCGTGCACCCGTAATTGCTACACTGTATGAACAAGGTGTTGGTTTCGATGGCTAGAGAGTTTCATCTGTTCATTGCGGTCTTGGATATCAAGCCTTGTTCGGAGTATTTTAGGAGTAAAATCCCAAATGCACCGGGTCGATATGGGGGATAACGCCCTTAATATTGCCCAAGAAAGTGAATTAACTGAGATGCGCGAAAGCTGGACTGAATACCCACCATCTCTAAAATACACAAAAAATTGTTACATAGAAGTAATTGGCCCAGATAACATTTATAAAATGTTATATATATATATATATATATATATATATTCATTCCTTACTCACCATATATGAATGTATAAAATCTGAAAATATTTTCTTTCAATAATTACAATCTTTTCTTTTGTGATTTGAGGACTAGGCATACTCCTAGAAACGGTAGAATGATTCCCATTCGTCAATTTAAATGATGGGCAAAAGTCTTGAAAAATCATGTAATTTCCTATTGTTGGTGAAGAATGTTTGCATAACTTCAGAATCTCTCCGACTCTCTTTTTAAAAGGTCGGGTTAAGTGCATATTAACTAGGGAAAATGTCAAATAAGGACCCAAAGTAGGTCTCTTTTGTCAAAAAAGGACCCAAAGTGGACAATGTGTCAATTAAGGACCCCAAGTGCCCAAACCAATGTCAAACAAGAACTTGACCTCGCCGGCCGGCCAAATGTTCACCGGCCGGCGAGCATGGGACATTTCCGGCGCCGGAATTAAAGGCAATTTTGTCCAAAATTTTTTTTCCTTTCTTTTTCTTTTCTTATCTTCTTCCCCGGTCGCCGGCCCAATGGCTGGCCAGAGGCTGAGGCCGGCGAGCTCCGCCCTCGCCTCACCCGACAACGGCGAGGCTCGCCTCACCCGGCGACGGCGAGGGCCAAGCTCAACCTCACCCAGATCTGGCGAGGCCGAGCTTGCCCAGCCATGGCGACCTCGGCCCTCGCCGGCCTCAGCCTCTGGCCGGTCGCTAGACCAGCGACTAGGGAAGAAGATAAGAAAAGAAAAAGAAAAGGTAAAGAAAAAGAAAGGAAAAAAAAATTTGGACAAAATTGCCCCTAATTCCGGCTCCTGAAATGTCCCATGCTCGCCGCCGGTGAACATTTAGCTAGCCGGCGAGCTCAAGTCTTTGTTTGACACTGGTTTGGGCACTTGGGGTCCTTAATTGACACATTGTCTACTTTAGGTCCTTTTTTTTGACAAAAGAGACCCACTTTGGGTCATTATTTGACATTTTCCCTATTAACTATTAAGAGTCACGCTTCTGATCATAATCAAATTGGTTCTTGCGCATTTTCCATGTTGTCAAAGTCAT